GTCGCATACAACTCGTCACTTGCGCCGAGCCAAGGTCTCGCAAGTTCAAGTATGAAGGGCGAGGCGTGCTGCGCCCGCGCAGCGCACGTGTATTCGCGACCATTTCACTTGATCTTTGCGCGTTTAAGGTCACAGTGCCCTTTCATTCATTTATTCGGTCGTATTGTGTATAGATGTATGATAATGCTATCTCCTTTGTTCATCTTCAATTTATCGTGTCCATCTGATATTAATTTAGCTTATGAAAAGTTTATATTGTTAATAGTACAAGTATAATTTTAATTAAGTCACGAAAGGTGTGTAAACAATTTATATTGTTAATGCAATTAAAACACGTGAATGTAATTCTGTTTGTGTGCTTGTTAACAGAACGCTAGGTTGAAGAGAGCATTCTTGTAATGATATTAAAAAATGTTTACCATAGAATGGTGGGTTGATAAATATTAAACAATTACAAGCCTCCCCATAGGGCTTTACCAGAGGCAGACTTTGTACAAAAGTCGATTGCTTGGGTACCTCTGTCCCATTCGTGTTTCTACCGTGAAGCAGTTGTGTTTGCATGGCTGTGTTTCGGTTTGAAGGGTGAGATATGGCGTGAATTTACTGGGTACAGAGGAATAACATCTGAGTCCACAGGAATGGCAACGTATGGGGGTATCATGGGCGAAACAGTATACTCTGTTATGTCCATGGTACTGCTCAAGTCTATAGGCGACGGTTACCACTTTCCATCAGGTGGGCCGTCAGCTTGTTTGCCATTCTAAGTTATATAAAAAAAATAGGGGGGAATGGATTGTTATCAATGGAGAGGTTAGTTCCCACTGATATTAATACATCCTATTAGGTGGATCACGCGGTTCCCCCTGGAAACCATCGTGACTAATTTATTCTCGAATAAGTCACGATGGGCTAACTGACCTGCCTTTTCAACAATCATCTCATCCGTATCTGATACGCAATCATCTCTCATTGAAAAAAGTACGACTTAGAATGGCAAACAAGCTGACGGCCCACCTGATGGAAAGTGGTAAACCGATAGTACCATGGACATAACGCAGGAGGACTCAGGTGTTACCATTCCATTATCATCCATTTGCCCAAGCAAAAAAAGCTCCCCCATATATATTGAAACATTTTTAAAATTTCAAAAATATTATTTGTATTTTTTTTTTTTTTTTTCGATTCAATTGTAAATGATAAACAAGCCAGCACCTTACCTGATGTAAAGCAATAATTACTCTAAAAATATGAACAGTACCTTCGACACCATAGAATACACTCTGAGGCCCATAGTACCATATGATGCCATTTTTGACAATTAAGATGTTATACTTGTAATTTCACAGCTACATCCCGCCTTTTATCAAACCACGGCCGTCCATTCCTACAGTTGTTTCGCGGCAAAAAACAACTTCACAGTAAAAAAACAGATGTGGCGGAGGCGTCCGTCTTATCATGCAGACAAACGTTTGTACAAAATATTCCTCTGGTAAAATACATTATACGACTTCAAAAAGGAGAACGTTTATATTTTGTGTATGTATGTCACACGAAATATTTACTAATACAACTGCAGTCAAAACTACTATCACCGGTTGTAAATTAAATCTTGTACATACATATCTATTATGCCTATCTCCCAGGGTAGGCAGATATAATGGAACGCCAAATGCTTCGACTATTTAGTTTTATTTATATGTTAAATAAATATATATCTATAATATTGTAAAGTAGCAACGCGTCGTACGTGCGCAGGCGAGCGGAGGGCGGCGCAGGCGCACGCGGCGGCCGGTGAAATCAAACCACGCTATGTAAGTGGGTTGGTGAAAGAATCTCTCCGCGCTGCGAGTACGGTGCGCCAAAAAGTCAGATTACGGTCGAATTTAATTAATATGGCGTAACATCACTTGGATGATTGAAGATATATTACTAATATCAAAACAGTGTTGTTCGAGTTGTAATTGGAATCCAGAATTATATGGATATTTGTGTTTAATTTTTTTTTTTATTAAAAATAATTAAATAAGAACTAATATAATAAAATGGTAATTAAATTAATTAAAAAAAGTACAAACATCATAAGAGTATATAAGAAAATTTATATGAGGTGTTTTAATGAGAGAGATAAGAAGTTAAACAATAAATGTTTTATTTTTTATGAGAGTTCTGTATTATATATATATATATATATATATATATATATATATATATATATATATATATATATATATATATATATATATATATATATATATATCCAAATGACGGGATTTATTCCCGTATTTGTCTCATTTTTATTTGGCGACGATTGTAGTAGCCATTTTGCGAAACAATAAATTCTAGCTACACTTGTATTGTAGTTAATTTAACATTTAATTCGTTATTAACCCAAAAAGAGAGAATAAATGCATTCTAATTGGAATTCCGTCAGATCAACAAAGCGACAAATCGTTTATCGGTGCCGTTCCTAACGCGTTATTGCGATATTGGTTAATTTAAAATATTTTGCAACCGTGTTGTACTTTATCTTGACATAGTTAATAAATGGGATGTTCTAGAAAAATAGACATTTCTCGTATTTAACCCTTCTTTGCGTAATGGTGGAAATTTCCATCATAACATTGAATGCCCGAAAATTATATAAAAGAACAAGTTCACTTTAAGTTGATCGTGTCTGGATACCTTTTTAATGTCCGTTGCAGAAAAAAAAAACATAGCTGTCATATTTATTTTTTGAACCATTTCTCCTTTAATTTTGAACATGAATTATATCACCTTGATTTATTTCACCAATAAAAAAATCATACAAAGAAGGGTTAAATAGTTTCATTTCATTAATTTATTTATTCAATAACAATCATACAATTGTGTTTGGAATAAGTTATCATTTTTTATAAACTAAAAATTAAAGAAATAAACAATAATAATCAATTAAAAAATAATACAAAAAATAAAAAACAAAATGATAGCTTATAATAAATAATAGATAAATTACTTGACATAACAAAGTTAAATTACTTGTCAAACACAACTAGCTATTATATATTCTACTAGCTATTACCTGTGACTTTGTTCGCATAACCGGAATATGGTTACTGACGGGGATAAAAGTAACAAATGTCCTTTTCCGTCCAGTATAGTACGTATATACCAAATTTAATTTCATTTCATAAGGCAACAAACATATTTCTCACAATTATAATATTTTCTTACTAATATTATAAATGTGAAAGTGAGTTTGTTTGTTTATCTGTTATCTCATAGCATCTAAAGAACTTAACCAATTACAACGAAATGTAGTATATACGTACTATAGATAGGTTAATTTTTCTTGCCAATGAATATGCTTTACTCGCGTGGACAAAGTTAAAAGATAGTATTAATATTATTAAGGATGTACGAGAAATACATATTTTTAACCGATTTTCAAAAAGGAGATTCTCAATTTGATTTTTTTTTTATATTTGTTACCTCAAAACTCCATCTATTCTAAAACGATTTGGATTGGTTTTTTATTTGAAAGGATAGACTTACAGATTGGTCTTATAGAAATCTTATCCAAATTGGTTTAGTACTTCAGTTTTTAAATGAAACTAACTGGTTTTGTCACAATTGTAGTCTTTTTTTTATTAAACACAATATTATTTCTAATGTTATGGAAAATTATTTTTGTTTTCTTGTAACCTTCTGGCGTCTTAACGCTTTATCTGACTGCTACGATATTTTGTATGCGCATAGTATTTGGAAGAAGGATGAGCATACCTAGTTTAAAGTGAAAATGTATAACACTAGGAGATTCTATAGGAGACGGTTACCACTTTCCATCAGGTGGGTTGTCAGCTTGTTTGCCATTCTAAGTTGTATAAAAAAAAAAAAACCAACCGCTACTTCGTCTCTGTAATCAAGATATTTCGATTGTTCGGGATATAATGTAACATATGTCCTTCTCCATTTCATATATGTCAAGCATCTAATTTATTTTAGTAATTTAAAAGTTTTTTTACTATTGCGCCGCATTCTCAATTTCCCAATTGGAATAACAGTGACAAAACATTGTAATAGTTAAAGTAGCATGGGGATATCATGGGCGTAACAGTATACTCTGTTATGTCCATGGTACTGCTCATGTCTATAGGCGACGGTTACCACCTTCCATCAGGTGAGCCGTCAGTTTGTTTGCCATTCTAAGTTGTATATAAAATAAAAAAAAGTTTATAGGAGTTTTATAGAGACTACACTGTGGGGTTCTTCAAAAATGGGGTAAAGATATTTCTTCAGGGTTGGCAACGCGCGCGTAGTACACCTGGTATTGCAGGCGTTCATAGGCTACGGTAACCGCTTACTCTCAGGTGAGCCGTATTCTTGTTTGCCACCTCAGTGGTATAAAAAAAAAAAAAGAAAGTTTTAATTTCTATAAATAATGTGACAAGACGTTTCTGCGCACCGTACTACGAAGAGCGCGCGGTCGTCACTCGTCGCTGTGTTCGCACGAGTTTTCCGTCGCACACGGCACGTGCATTTTCTCCGCGCCCTCTGTACTGGCAAAAAGGTAATATGTCGTTTGTGTGTGCAAAGTCAATTTTCACATCCGACTTTCTTCCGAAACGCACGGGAACATTACGTCTTGTGGGATCTTTCACTTAGTTACGCGCCTTTGTTTGACGCGTCGCGCTGCGACTGCGACCCAGATGTCTTGGTACTTGTTTATTTCTAGAAAACACGTTCCGTTCTTGCAATCAATAGTGGCGGCGTTTATTGTTTCGTAGTGTGAACTTTAAACTGTTTGACGTTTGTACGCACCTGTGAGGTTGTTTACGACTTTTATCAATATGCAATAAATATACTTTGTTCACTGTGGAGTTTTTATGTTTGTCTGTTTGTGTATGGGTTACGTTGATAATATTGGTGTTTGATTAATTTTTGACAAATTCTAAGACTAATATGAGGGTAAAAAAAGGATATTGTGTGACATTCATACAAAAAACATACTTACCCTCCATTTGAAGTCGGTTGATGTATATTTCCAAACAATTAGTTATTATAAAAAAAATATTAGTATACGGAAAATAAATAAACAAAACACAGAGTATCGTTAACAAAAATTTCCATTTATTTTTACATTAATTTACATTTTATTCGTAATGGAAAAAAAAACCTCTAGAAAATATAACATTTTCTTAGCTAACTAACTTTTACTTAAAAGTACGCACTGTAATAGATCGCGGAGAAATTTACAAAAAAAAAAAAAAACAGAATTACAAAATTACATTTATCAATAAATACTTACAAACTAATATCCCATAACTAGCAAAAGGTACTTTTCGAGGCCTAACTACGTACGGCGTGAGAAACGCTGCGGTCGAAACGCTCGTCTATAAATTATAAAACGAAATTTACTGATTGTTTATTTATTAAAACATCAATATGTTTGAACTGTATAAGTAGGTGACTTCACACCATATGGCGTTATCTACCCGTCGACCATAGGCAGGAATAACAAAAAATATAATTGAAATCAACTAAAAACACACTCACAAACGAAAATTGTATTTAGCTTTGTGTATTTTTTTTTATCATTTATGTTATCTCGCTTTTTTTGTATATGTATGTTGTAATTTGTGTGTTGTAAGTAAGTAATGCAAATAAATTATCTATTTATCTATCTACAAAAAAGTAGATGAACTAACAATATTTTATACAGCATCTTGATACATACATACATACATATCTGTCACGCCTGTCTCCCATTAGGGTAGGCAGAAACAATGGAACGCCAAATGCTTCGATTCAAACAAACCCTTTTTCGCTTCTTCCACATTCATTAATCTTGTCATACACACTCGTCGGTTACGGGTACTTTTAATTTGGCCCTTCTTCAGCACGTCGCCTATTTGGTCGACATACGTCCGTCTAGGGCGGCCCCATAGCATCTTGATATATTAGTAAAAATTAAAATTATTTCAATCAGCTGAAATTAGTACAAGAGATTATAGGATATTTTAGTCAAAAGATAATCAAAATATGTTTATAAAATAAAATAAGAAATAAAACAATTAAACTAAAAAAAAAATATGGATTTTAAGCAGCAGCAACGATTAATCGATTAGGTTTCAATAGACAATATCCGATTAGCGCATCCGATACAATGTAATAAGACAGTATATTTTTTTTTGTGGGGAATTATAAATATATCTTATGTCCGTATAATACATAATTGGAGTGCATGTAATCGAATAATCGATATTCGATTTATGAACGTATCGGTTCAAAAAAAGACCTTAAAAAATAAATGCACCTTATCTTCAACTAGAGTATAAATACCACGATACGTACTTCAAGAGTCTTCTTATAACGATTAAGAGATATGAGAAAAAATAAACAAAATTCATTCTAGAATTTTCACTAAATTAAATTCATCATAATTTTTTCATTTCACATGTGTAGGCATTATTTAGTAATAATTACGATTAAGTTTTATTCTTTCACAACAATAATTGAATTGTTTTTAATATCCGCTCAATTACAACTGTTCATTAAAAATATCTGATACGAATCCAGCGTCTCAGCCGTGCGTACCGCGTGCGTACGCCACGGGACGCACTCCCGGGCGAGCAGACGAGCGTTCGAACGCAGCATTTCTTTTAAATACATGGAAGCGAATGATTCGTGGAATGTGTAGGATTAGATTTTGTGTTAGTAGATTGTAGCAAGGTATTATTACTAATGTTAAACATTTTTAATAGGTACATTGCGGTTTCTTTGTTCATATATGTATATAAGGCTAAATTAATTTCTATCCAGCTTACTTAATAAAGCGACGCACGAGAGTGTTACGAAAATATGTAACATTTTTACTGTTCATTTCAAAAAAGTCGTCATAAATGTCTTGTTTTAGGATATCATTATTCTAATAAATTCATTGCAATGATTATTAGACATACATCAGCACCAAACATTTATTTTCAGCCTTTACGTTATAAACTTGGTTTATAAATGATTGCAATACAATTTTATCAAATATCAAATTTTTGATTTGATAAAATGACAAATTTTAGCGAAGGCTTTAGTAATTAGTAATTCTACGTTATTTACATTTGACTACAAATTTTATTTATACGTCTTAATGTATTACAAAAGAATGTACAATTTTAATATTTTTTTTAATTTCCTAATAATTTGTTTAGCTGAAATGAAATGATCGAGATATCGTTGACATGATACTGAATAGTAAGTCTCATATGACCCGAAGGTCACCATTTTACGTGTAATTTCAGGTAATATTTCGCGGTGTGTTCTAATTGGGCTGACACTAGTTGTGTAATAACGGATCGGTATTATTAGAACAATGATTTTTGCGTTTTTTTCCGTCCGCTTCCCGGACGCGGCCAGTTCCGCCGGCTCGCGTGCGCCCGCGCATCGCACACCTACTATTATCCGTACCAACAAATAAGGTGCGGTCATTAAACATTTTTTTTTTTAATTGTGATGTTTTGTAGATTATGTTCTCTCATTTAATAACAGTTTTCTTAATTATAACTAGTAATCTCGGAAACAGGATTTGTGTAGAATGTGCACAATGTAATATATATGTATATTGATACTGATGTCATTAATTTTAATGTTAAAATTACACAATTAATAAAAAAAAAAAAATTAAAACTGATTTCTATTCGAACAGATAAATCTGAGTTCATTCTATGAGATTTCTTTTTCATTATAAAAATAAACAAAAATGAGAGAAATAAAGGAATTTCTCACTAAAATGGATTCCAACTGAGATATGTTCATTATACTAGAGAGTAAAATTTTGTGACCATTTCTTTTTTTGTTTTCGGTGTAACATCACTGTATTGAACTGTTTGGAGAATCGTAAGAAATTATTAAAAAAAGAAAAGAATATCAGATGTGGGGTAGTGTAATACATAAAATATTAACCTAGTCAATTTAATAAATAACCTATACAGAGTTTTGTGTTAGCCTCTTCTGCTTTGTCATCTTTGTATCTTAAAAGTATTTAAGTAAGTACCTAAAATTTACATATTTATGATCTACAATAATTTGACTATAAATAGGTAATCGGAGTAATTTATTAATAAATAGCGAAGAACTAATATTTCGTCCATGTTTTGTGCATATTGGACATTGAAACGCGCACTGTGTTTTAACGTGCGAACAACAGCGGCATGCCATGTCAGTGCTCAAGACATAAGCGAAATAATCAACCGAAACTACTCCTAATAAGTTGGATTAATATTATGATAATCGCTACCAAGTGGAATGAACAACCTTACAACCATTACACAACAACGTATACACAATTATCTACAAAATAAATCTGAAGACTTAGAACTAGTTAACATTGCACTTTTCCTTAGGAGAAATGTTATACTAAAAGGTTACAGTAATATGTGTACGAAGAGAAATCATTTACAAGTAACCTAGATTGAGATTCTGCGCAGGATACCGCCGCACACACTGACACGTTCGAGCACACATCACAAACACACTACTAATCTACGAAATGCTTTTTGAGCTTGCGTTGAAGATCCAAGTTCCTAGTCCCTACCGATCCTCTTGTGGATCTGTTGGTGTTTAATGAGGTGCGCTTTTTGACGGAACGCCTTCGCGCATACATCACACCTAAAAGGCTTCTCCCCGGTATGCGTACGGAGGTGCACCTTTATATTTGATTTGTTCAAAAATCCTCTATTGCATATTGTACAGCGATGCACCGGCTTCTCTTTACCAAGGAGACCACTTAACTCAGCCGCTGTCGCAGATGGAAACGCCAGTGAATTACTATGGAGACTAGCACCATTGTTTGCTTGTTTGGCTTTCGCTCTACTCCGTTTGCTTTTATTCACCGGTGTGACTGTGGTCGTGTGAGCGTGAGGGTAGCCCAACAGTCTCTCTGGACTGCATAGGCCATCTGACTTCAGACCGAGTGCGTAGTGGGACGTATACCGGCCATTTAATATACCGCTGACGCCATCTGTCGTAGAAACTACATTTCCTGGAGGTGATGATGTTGATATTATATCCATACCGTAACTGGTCGAGCTAGGCGCTTCCTGTTTTACCGGTGGGCCATTTTGTAGCCGATTTTGGAGTAACGGCATATAGCCGTGTGTTAGTAATGACTGCAGTGTAGAACCAGCTTGACCTAGATTCTTTTGGAGAAATTCTTGGCTTTTAGAAAATTCCTGACCAGGTTTGCAAGGGAAATCTAAACTTGAGTGATGACTTGTATGCTGTTGATGAGGAGGACTCGGAAGACCAAACTCAAGGTCTTGGGGTACTATTTTGTCTCCATGTTGACTGCAAGCACCCGCTATCCAAGCATCAATATCCATCCAACTGTCTCTAGAGTCATTACGCTCCGGGTCTTCGGGTTGTGATGGAACCGTAGTATCTGCTATAGCCGAGCCAATGATAGCTGCTATATCTTCTATTGAACTTATATCATACATATTGTCTTGTTTGTGACCGTCCTCGAATAACTTCGCCGGGGGCGAACAAGATGCAGCGCAAGAGTCCGCCGCCCCAGACCCAGTCGTTTCAGCAAACGGTTTAGTGTCTGGTGATTCTAGGAATGGTTTCACATCCTCAAGGTCGGGCGGTTCGTTATCTGCGGCGCACGTTGATGAAGACACAACGTCGTGGTCCGCACCGTAACCGCTCTGGGTGGGGTAATTGTTGTTCTCTTCTGGAAGACGTTGGGCGATCGCGTGATAATGATGGCCCGAGATGCCGTTGATAGATAGGTGGCCGGTGTAGCCAGTGAAGGGAGGGAGAGGCTTGAGTTCCGCGAGCGGCGTCGGGGCTAGAAGCGAGTCGAGGAGCTCGTGACAGGTAGACGGCGGGGAGGAAGCATCCTGCTTAGGGTCAAGCCAGCAAGCGCCGAGTAGGATCTCGTCGCCGCCGCCGCCCCCGGCAATGCCCGCGCACTTCATGCCGCGTCTCACCGTGAGCCCAGAGCCGACCAACCCGCCACCGCCATACTTGGAGGTCGCCACCCTGCCGCGCTATCTGCAACAATATAGAGGAATATAATTAAAAATACGATTTATATATTTGTCGTAGATTAATTAGGTTAGTACTTATTATTATTACTATTTCAGCCGTTAATTGTCTACTGCTAAACATAAGCCTTGGGAGTAATGGGAGTTTTGCCACTAGCTACCACGCATGGCAGAAAGGTTGGCGTACGCAGTTAGGCTTTTAAAGAGGTTCTAAGAGGGACATTACTGCCCCTCCCTCGCTTACCCTTAGTCGCCTCTTACGATACTCATGAGTAAGGACGGGATGGCCTATACTATGCCAAGCACACACGGCGAATACGAGTAATGCTAATGAATATTTGGTACTAGTAAAATTTTGAATTGCTAACTTAAAGTAGGTATTTTTTTTAAATACGTTAAGTTTATAAAACATTGTGGGCGGACAAAACGGCAATCTTAATAATAAAAATTAAATATTGTTGCACTAAGACCTCTCTGTGCCTTTATCGTGACAATACTACTATGAAATTAATATTGGATCAACAGATTGCATAAAAAAAAACATCGAAGTCAATGCAGAACTGGTAAAAATATCGCGAAACATGCACACAAAAAATATAATCGATTTGTGAAATTAAGAACGTTATTTTCCTTTTTCCAATACATAAAAATAGATATTTATTGTCTAAAGTATAAATGTAAAATTTTATTAGTATATTTATATATATATAAAATTAAATTTGTTTGTTTGTTATCTTGTAGCGCCTGACCTGTTTAACTAACTACTATGAAATTTTGATATACATGTGTGATATGTGATGGAGAGGATTCCTGTCAGCCTTTAACTGTCCACTGCTGAACATTAGCCTTCCTCTTGGGGGTATTGCCAGTAGTTGTCATACTTGGCAGGCGGATTGGCAATCGCAGTTAGGTTTTAGAGATGTTTTAAGAGGGACGTTGTTGCCCATCCCTCGCCCTCCTTTAAACAGCTTTTACGACACCCACGGGAAAGCAAGGGGTGGTATATTCTATTCCGGGACTACAAATAATTATAAATGTCTTTTTCTAGTTAATGGTACAATTTCGTTTATATCTACTACTTTAAAAAAAAAAGAAGAAAAAACAATAAGCATACAATTGGTAATTGCCTCAAAATACATTCTACTACATTGTCGCAACAGAAATGTATTAAAATCTGCAATGCTTATTTAATTATTTTTTAAAAACACTTCTCGCTCGTGCAACCAAATTATAGATCGATAATAATTTTACGTATTCAATTTTAAAGTTTTCGACATTGAATCACCATTCCAATTGGACAGTAGGTATAGCCCGAACAAGTGCGCAACCGCAGATATAGGCGCGAAATAATTGTTACCATTTTGCCGGCGCGCGCGCACGCCGCTCCGCTTCACTACACATCGGTGTTGCTACGATAGTGGCCGAGTATACATTTTTATTTCTGCTCGATTGTAACGCGAGGCCTATTTTCAAAGATCCCTTGCAAAATGTTTTGTAATTGAAAATGTACATTTCGGCACAAGTATGGCGGATCGGTGTACGCGCGTAAGAGCTGCACGCTATGTTAGAGGTCGATTAATAATATGAATTAATGAATGAGTATACTTTATTTGCATTATACAATATAGGGAATAAGCAAGACAATTGATAAATGTAACGATACTATAAGTACAGTAAGACGGTCTTATTGCTGAGAGCTATTTTTTTTTTTTTTTTTTATACAACTTAGAATGGCAAACAGGCTGACGGCCCACCTGATGGAAAGTGGTAACTGTCGCCTATAGACATGAGCAGTACCATGGACATAACAGAGTATACTGTTTCGCCCATGATACCCCCATGCGTAACCATTCCTGAGGACTCAGGTGTTATTCCTCTGTACCCAGTAAATTCACGCCATATCCCATCCTTCAAACCGAAACACAGCCATGCAAACACAACTGCTTCACGGTTGAAACACGAATGGGACAGAGGTACCCAAGCAATCGACTTTTGTACAAAGTCTCCCTCTGGTAAGCAATCTTTTCAAGACAACCTTAGGGTAATGGACTAATTGTTGTACAAGTAGGTATTGTGTAATTAAGAAAATTAACAGAATAAAACATTCAGGAAAATAATTATGAGTATTAAATATATATATAATAATAATAATAAATATTTTTTATTCAAGTAAACTTAATAATAGGTATTTTTAAATAATAGTTTTATTATAAATCTACCGCCCAGTTCGAAATGCAATTTCAGCTGAGAACTTTGCATTGATAAAAATATAGAAAATAAAAAAAAAAAAACTACAACGCTACAATCAAACACGGTATTCTTGTACAGACCAGTCATTATTAGAAGCACCCGCTCACGAGTATGACGGATGTGCCATCCATCGTTTTGTTATCCCTCAATATCAAAATACTTATGTAATGGATGGAATAAAATCAAGTTTTTTTTTATGCAATTTAGAATGGTAAATAAGCTGACGGCCCACCTGATGAAAAGTGGTAACCGTCGCCTTTCGTCATGAGCAGTATCATAAACATAACAGAGTATACCGTTTCACCCACGATACCCCCCATGCGTTGCCATTCCTGAGGACTCAGGTGTTATTCCTCTGTACCCAGTAAATTCACGCCATATCCCATCCTTCAAACCGAAACACAGCCATGCAAACACAACTGCTTCATGGTAGGAACACGAATGGGACAGAGATACCCAAGCAATCGACTTTTGTACAAAGTCTCCCTCTGGTAAAATCTTATCTTTTATCTTATCTTATCATCTAATCTTTTTACATATGTATGTAAATAGATTGTATGTAAATAAATAAATAAATGTTCTTGCGTGTTTTTTTTTTAATTTTCTTATGGTGCCTCACAATAGAACGCTGATAGATGCACCTAAATAGATAACACGTGTGCGCCGCAGTTCGCGATATACTTATGTACCCGTACCATAGATGCATGTACAATTAATCGAGTTATTCAAGTTAGCTGACCGTGTTATATCTAACGATGCAGCGTAAAGTAATGAAATAAACTGGAAAACAATGTATGACATATCTACGTTAATGAATAAACCGCTCAATTATTATATTTTTAATATGATTCTATTGTGTATATATATATATATATATATATATATATATATATATATATATATATATATATATATATATATATATATATATATATATATATATATATAATACATTTTGAATACATTTTATTTTGTTATTTCTTTAGTTGTAAAATACCACCATAGAACCTCTGGTAAACGATGTTATCCGTCGTAATAAATTCACCACAGGAATTGGCCACGATGTGTTCCAGAGAGTATTGCGTAAAAGTCAGTTTGAGAGCATATGCTTATTAGTAATGGGGCTCTTAGTCCCCATTACCGATAATCACGTTCCTCTAATTTTTCGGGATGAAAATTAGTTGGTTTAGCAACCTTTCTATACTATCGGTATACGTTTCGGGGTGGGGGGAAAGGGGTTGTTAGTAATGGTGACTGCTAGCAATATACCTTAACAGGTCGACCTCCATGCGGTTCTTCCTGAAAATCATTGTAGTAAATCATGTCCAATTTTTCACGATGAGCCAACTATGAATTCATTGGTGCCCCGCCAGCGTATACTGATAGCGTAGGCAAGGTTACTAATCCATTTTTACACATTAAAAAAAAAACGCTTAGCAGTGGACCAAAGGCGTTAGACCACTGGTTATTCCTTAAACTGTGATGTCACTCGATAATTTAATGTTCTTGTTCTAGTTATTAGGGCCAACGCACATTGACCAATCGTGGACACGCAACCGTTTGCGATATCGGTAAAAAATCGTAGTAAAATATAGATTTGTTTCGGCCAAGAGCGCGGCCTTGGGGGGGTTTTCGCAAATGCTGTGAATAGAAGGCTAATGGTTGCGCGGGTCGACGGCCCGGTCCGTGGTTGACCGGCGGCCGCGGCCGGCTGTCGCAACTAGTCTAAAAAAAAACCAAATTACAATGCCCTGTTGCGTTTCGAACGTGACTCTAACGGGTGACAGTAAGCAGAGAAGCATGTCACTTGATTTTTTGTCAACTACGACATTTTGTAAAGCCCTCAATTGTGCTGGTAGGTGATTGAAACTGTATGTTACAGGGATCGATTGATACCACTGTATACGTGTTAGAATTAACCGCTGAATTGGTTGATGCAATACTTAAAATTGGTTGACTTGGTCCATTTATTTATTTACTCTTTAGTATAAAATGTTTGGGGCCGTGTAGTCCCGGCATAGAAAAGGCTACTCCTTCCTTTCCCGTGGGTGTCGTAAGAGGCGAAGGGAGGACGAGTGATTGGTAGCAGCGTCCCTCTTAAAACATCTCTAAAGCCTGACTGCGGTTGCTAATCTGTCTGCCAATTGCGGTAACTATGGGCAAAACCCACCAAGAAGTAGGCTATATTTAGCAGTGGACAGTTAAAGGCCGACATGAAGATGTTGATTTATTTTATACTATCTTTTACGTGACTAAAATATGTTTACTGACTGAGACAAAAAGTAACCTACATCCTTTTTCATTTCCATATAGGAATTTGGAGGAAACAATAAAGAGTATCTATCTATCTATAGTATGTCTTAATTTCATATTTATTGGCTATACCGTTAAAGCGTTATAAAGTAACAAACAAACTCACTTTCACATTTATAATATTAGTAAAGATTTAAGAAAATCTATGGAACACTTGATGTTCAACTGCGATTCGTTGGCAAGTATGCGTATGAGTCTACTGGGAACGGCTTATCCAGAGCCAGGGGACTACAGATATCTTAAACCGCGGGATATTGTTAAGGTAACACATAAGATCTATGAACTAATGGTGTAAAGCAGGAGGGAAGCACAAAAGATCCTGATGGGTCGACGTGCAATGGCTTAGCTGACCTTAAATGCGAAATTAAGATAAGGATTCTGTTTCTAGACTGTCTCCTTATAACCAGTTACGTTTTCCGCTAATGTGATATTTGTCCTCAAGCC